TTGGGTTATACGAATGCTTCAAGGCCTTCCTTCTACTAAACCAACTGCCTCCATTACCGAGATACAGGGCGCTCATATTATAAGGTAAGGTTATAAAACCACCATTTAAGATCATTTTAGTGAAAGTTTCATCCTTCAAGGCGTACCATTCACTGCTGAAATACTAAACAACCTGCTTCCATGGCCGAGATACAGGGCGCCCATATTATAAGGTAAGGTTATAAAACCACCATTTAAGATCATTTTAGTGAAAGTTTCATGTTCCTATCTCATAGAATTTAAGAACAATGATGAATAAATAATTTTCGAGCAAAATTTAAATGGCCGGCTGAATATATTACCGCAGGAGCCGCGGCCGCGGAATTTAAATGACCACGTCAAAGGGTTAAAACAAACCTGCATATAGTCTTTCTTATATAATACATTGAAAATGGGGGGCACACAGTAGCATAGTTGATTGAGGCGCTATGATACAAGCCAGAAGGTCAAAGGGTTTATCCCGATGAGGTCATTGGATTTTTCAATTGACCTGATCCTTCCAGAGGCTCAGCCTCTGACAGAAATGAGTAATAGAAATCTTCCTGGGGGTGAAGGGTGGCAGGTACACAATGCTGGCAACTTTACCACCATCTGTGAGCTGACTGTATATAAAATGTGGGAGCCTCAGCCTCTCAACCCTATGGGCTTCTATGGCCTGGTAGAAGGATTGCTTTTTTTCCTCCTCCCCATAGGAATTATGCTTTTTGGAGCATAACGGTTGATTTGATTCTCAACTAAGGCTCTTTCGGTGTTTATTTAATGTGTCATTATTTACTTTATAGATGAAGTTGACACTATTGTATTTATTTGTATAGTGTCCATCACTTTATATGTAAATAAATTATTTTAGCATAATTATATGCAGCAAGTCTTAACAAGAAAATGAACAGTTTCTCAACATAATTCTGCATAATCCTCGTTTAGCATAAGAAAGACAGTTCACCAGGGATTCTTTAAATAGGTGTTTCTTTGTATCTCTGTAGTTATGAACACAGACTTTTGCATAGGAATGCTTTTGTCTTTTCAGAGCCAGACTGTTGGTATGAAGTTACTGTTCAAGGCTATAATAATGAAGGTGTGGGGGACCTTGGTTTGAAAGCAATTCACACACTTCCTGCCAGAGGGAGTACTGATGGGACATCCAACCCCTTCTTGGGGCTGGAGCCTCCAACCAACCTGGAGGCTGAACCTACGTCACCCACCTCCATTAACCTGACATGGACATCATCCCAGTCCACCATGAATGTCAGCTACTATACCGTATGTTACGGGCTGGTGCAGAGTACCCGTACAGTTAACACTTCTGTATACAGCTACGTAAGCAGGTAAGCTGCTGACTATTGCATTTTTTCCCCTTAGTGGCGTGAGACAGTCCACTTGGTACTGCAGCCACTACTGGCCTGTTATACCACCCCTGGAAGATAGATTATGGTGATTATTGAGCAATTGCTAGAATGAAGATTGGTAGGGGAAACCGAAGTACTCAAAGAATACCTGCTCCAGCACCATTTCGTCCACGACAAATCCCACATGACCTTACCTGGGCGGCCGCTGTGGGAAGCCAGCATCTGACCACCAGAGCTATGGCGCACTGAATATTTGAAATTACTTTTGCATCAAGAATATGCTTCTTTGCTTTCTTCTTTTCCTCCCTCCCTTCCCCCTCTTAATTTCCTCCTCCCCTTCTGAGTATAGTCTGTGACTTCTGTTATGACATCATGCATCCGTTCTTTCTTTTTCCAAGGTCTTCCATGGTATAAGTTGTCAGCAGATATCATCCATAAATGGGGGATTTTAAATCCTCAGACTTTGCAGTCCATGGAGGCATTATTTATTTTTCAGGTTAATGCTTATGTACTGCAATAAAGGATTTTAAATCTTCTAGTTCCTTGTGTTTGGCTGTCATGGCTAGCTTCTTATCATCTTGAATGGGGAATTTTAAATCTGTTGGTTCTGCAGGGCTCGCAGCCCTGGTCAGAGCTAACTTGTAGCTGTAATGATACCACTATTGAGAAAAAGCAGAACTGAGTCACTTCGTCTGTGCACATGCACCTAGGAGTTATGCAGCGCATGGACTGATGCATGTTCTGTGTTTGGAGCGCCTTTTAACATCATTCCATTATTTGTATTTGCAGCACGAGCCAGGGCGTGGAGGTCACTGGCTTGACGCCCTACACCCTGTATGAATTCAAAGTGCGCTCCCATGACCACAACAATCAGTATGGACCATACAGTCAGAAAGTTGAGTGCCACACCCTTGAAGATGGTAAGTGAAACTTTGGGGTGTAAAAGTGATGGGATTCATGGCTTATGTAGTGACAGTGCTTGAACTATGTAGCATGTGCGTTGTCGGACTGACTGAATTGTGAATTGGAAGCAAATTTAAATCAAGTCATCACCTATTTTTGAGATGCCATACATTTTCCTGGAGGGACCACAGAAGGCCACGAAAATTTGAATACCTGAATATGGAGCAGAACTGATGACTGTTACACCACAGTTTCCAACAGTTAGTTGGTTCTGTGGCCTCTTGGGCATATTGGCCCTGGCTTATCACTGTGGAGCTGCAGGATCAGTTCCAAGTGACATTTGTGGTGGGTGCAGTGGCACTGGAGCAAGCCCTGCTACCCTAAGATGGCCGGATGCTGTGATACATGTAGGCACAATGTCACAGCCCTGGTCTTTTAATCAGGGGCATTGTGCTACAAGCCGGAAGGTCACAGGTTCGATTCCTCTTGAGTTAATTGGTTTGTGGGAGCATCCCACATTATCACGCATTTCTGCAACACACACTCTTCACATCACTTTTCACCATCACGCGCGCTAACCAATCAAATTGCTCCAAACGTTCGCATTTATACTGCGCTCGCTGCTAGCCCTGCATCTACATCATCACGCGCACTAGCCAATCAGCGCCCTGCAAATTCTTCCTCCTCAATTTCAAGTTTTGCTCCGCCCACCGAGCAGTGTATAAAAAGGAGCAGCCGCAAACAGGCATCATCAGTCTGACTTCAGTCTACGATCAAGCCACACTCAAGCAACATCAACCAGCAGGCTTCGTCGCCAGCACTCGGTCTTCGGAGGCATCGGCAGGCTGTGCCAGGCACGACTGCCTCGGCCCTCCGGCTCTCACAACCCGACTCACTGGGGCACCTCGCCTGGACTCGCCGGTGGTCGTGTCCCTGTCCGACCCACTGGGCATCTGGCGTAGCCACTGCCTCATCACTCCTACGACCGCACTGCGTGACCACACAACTTCAACTCACCTGCCGCACGGCGATCAAGCAACCTCCACCATCTGCCGCACTGTGATCAAGCAACAGCCGCACTGCGGCCACTCCACACACCGCAACCAACATCCCTTCCTACCGGCGCGCACCGCACTACCTCACCGGTCAAGCATGTCAGCAACCACGGTCCTTTTCAGGACCAACAAACTGTTCCGAAGAAGTGGGTTGTCATCGGAGTAATGATGAACAACAAAGACATAAACCCCACAGGTTTTTCAGTTACCTAATCTTTCCAGCTGCATTGTGACCCTGGGGGTAATGGGCAGCCAGAGTGTAAGGCTGACAGTCTCACCGCCATCTGTGAGCCAATTGTCTAGAAAGTGTGGGAGCCTCAGCGTCTCACAACCTTATGGGCCTCCACAGCCTGTTACAGGAATAGCTTTTTTTTTTAAGGAAAGGAATGGGAGGACGTGGACTGTATTTGTCTGGCTGAGCATAGGGACCACTGGTAAGCTTTTGCAAACATGATAATGAACCTTCAGGTTCCATAAAATGCTGGGAACTTTATGACTAACTTAGCAACTGTTTTTTTTTTTTTTTTTCAAGAAAGACTTTGGTGTTTGGAATTAATTAATTTGGGCGCTTCATTTCTGACTCATCACTAGTCTGGTTACACATTAATTAAATTTGTGTTTAAGTTGTCTGAGATCTTAATAACAGCGACAAGTATGGTTGGCTGAGTTGAAAAGCCATTTAGTTAAGAACAGGCATTTTGGAGCAACGTGTTGCCTCCATCATCAGTGTCAAAAGAATAAGCCAGGCTCAGCTAAGCTTGCTGCTTGTTTAAGCTGGCTTCTTGCTTGACTTACTTTCATCCCAAAAGTATGAAACAATGTATTCCTTAAACATGTCAGGCTCTGTCTGATGTACATGGCATCACAACCAAGAAGACCAAATTTTACAGGGTTTATTTCCTCATGTACTGTCTTACAAAATCAAATGCAATTTGTCATCTCAATATATCTTGCTATTGCCTAGGTATACTGTTCCAGAAATGCAGACATGTTTCAGTCTTACAAGATGATCATCAAGAGATACACCTTATTAAAAATAAGTTAAACCCCTAATGATGGTCTTCTAAGACTGAAATGTGTCAGGGTCTCTGTAAAACATGGTCCCATTAGGCAGTAGATACTATATTGTTTGATTCATTCAAGACGTTAATACTCTTCAAGTTCCAGATCGTTTCCACTAAGCTCTGTGTGACTCCAGTGAATTCTGATGATGATTTATGTGTTCTTACAGTTCCAAGTGCAGTGCTGGATGTGCAGTGGAGTCCCCTTAATTCCAGCACAGTACGTATATCGTGGAAGGAGCCGCAACGCAGCAATGGTGTGATCAAGAACTATGAGTTACTGGTTCGAGGCTATGCTGGATCACAGCATAGCGTGCACTGTGTCAATGTGTCGAATTCCAAGTTAAACACTGAGGTTAGGGAAAGTCTGTACCAGCAAATTGTTATTATACTTAATACTAGATATTAGAATGTTGAAATGGACATTACTCTTTAAAGGCAGAATTCTTCAAGTTAATATATAACCTCACAGGAAACACTGTGTGTGTCTGGTACAAAGATCTGTTTCTTAACGCTGTTTAGGGAAACAGTAACTTTTTATTATGAGAATCCTGCAGAATGCATAAATGCGCTCTGTGGGGAAGACCACAGAGTTGTATGTTAAAGGAAGTGCTACATAGAGAACCAGTGGCCTTTAAAGGGTTAAACTCAGTGTATTCATAGAGTAATCTTATTTATTATAGGCAAGTGTTTCTCAACTTCTGGCCACTCATTTCCTGTCCCAGAAAACCGTTTCCGTCAGTTTCCTGACAGACGTTTGTTTGTAATGTGTAATGTGTGAGTAGGAATAGAGATGAGGTTTCAGCACAAGTTTGTATGACAGCTAATCACAGACTTTGAAGTCATTCTCAGTGTTTGAACTGTCTATTTTCATATCATCTATTAGCTCTCTTCAAACCATGGTTTTGTCCTGCATTCTGGCGATGACACATAAATGTATAATTTGGTTTTCTCTGTGCTCACTTGCAGACCAACCTCATTATAGGTGTCAGAGCTTATGTGTTTTTCTTTATGATATTTGTTTCTCTTCAGTTGATGTGCTCCTCTTAGGTTCACTCCCAATTGGATTTCTTGCATCATGCTAAAGACATATTTGAGAGCAAAGCTGGAAAGAAGTGGCAATAAAGCGTCTCCCTGTTTTTGATAGGAATCATATGAAGCAAATGTTTGCCTTTGCCAACTTTTCTGTAGGTTTCATTTAAACATATGTAATTAGTGTAACTAGTTTCATGGACACACCAAATTCAGTAAGAATACTGTGCAGTACTTCCCTCCTAACTGAATCATAGACTTGCTTGGAGTCTGTAAGTAGTTGATGGTACTACCATTTTTTTCTTCAGTATTTGGTGGATGCAAAAAGAGATCTGATCAGTACTTAATCTGTTACTTTGAAACCCATGCTGATAGTCAGCAATAATTGTCTCTGCATATGGACTTCACCTTGAGAGAAGAATATAGGATAAAATTTTGTGTGAAGTTGATAGTGTTGATATGCCTCAGTAATAACTAGTCAGTTTTAGCACCTGTCCTGTAAAAGTAATAGACTCCTTCCACTGTTGAGGCAATTTTTCCTTATTCCAAATAGGATCGTTGAGATAATGGGCGACAGAAAGTAATGTTTCACCTCCTGCTTCAAACACTTCTTTCTGACTGTGATAAGTACCCGGTGATTTACATATTTCCAATTTTTCAGTAACGGTTTGAACCTCAGAGTGACTACACATGGGCATTCATGATGTCATAAAGTAACCCAGAAAAAACTACAGTCATATTCCAGAAGATTGTAAATCTTCATTTTGTTTCAAATGGGAACATGAAATCATGTAACACGCTTCGCCTCTCTTCACTGTTGTTTGTTTCAGGTCCACAGAATATTTTTTGGTAAAACTTAAATTGTGCATTTTTCTTTATCCTTCATCCATTGTCTTTACGAATGAGGATACTGCAAATGTCTTGATGAATGGCAAATGTGATATTTTGCAGGTTACAGATTTAGAGCCTAACACGAGGTACTTAGTGACTGTAAGGGCAGTTACACGGGCAGGAATGGGCCCTCCCTCAGCTAGTGTCACCGTCACAATTCCGGTAGTCCCACCACCTGGCATTCCAGCCAGTGTACGGCCACCATCAACTCATAATCCAAAGACAGACCAGCATTTGGGTAAGTGTTATCTGAGTCAACAATAGGTAGGAAAATGTGTTCACTTGTTTGAAATGATGAAGTGAGTAAATTCATTGATGTAATTGACTTCGTTATATTTTTAATTCGAAGCAGGGATGAGGCCACATGGGCCTGCTCCAAGTCATAATGATGTCTTTTCATAGGTCTGTAATATGAGGCTTTCTGTTATCCTCTACACATGCATTCTCAAGTTTAATCAGTATTCTTCATTGTCAACAACTGCATTAATAACTCTCCACCACTGAGTTGGTGTAAGTGGAATGTTCTGGACTCATATTTTATAGGTGCTTGTTCTGGATCTCGGTTGGGACACCAACTAGTCTGACGATTTTCGTGGTTTTACTCAGTCTCTCAAGGAAAATGTTGTAGTACATTGATTAGGCCCAAACCACTTCCTTTGGAATGCCTTCCAATTCATCCATCCACTTGACAGCATATACATGTAGCCTAGCTGCATAAAGGGTTGGTATATAACCCACTTAAAAGTGCTTACCCTTTCGTAATTATTTCCTTAGTATTTTGTCTCTCTTAAGGGCCCTACACACGCTCCGGTAGACCTGTCAGGTGCGCCTGCGCAGGTCGACCTGAAAACCCCAGTGCGCCCACACGCTCAGGTACACCTTTCCGATATTACTTCAGTTGCGTGTTTGCTATGGTCGGACATGGCATCTACAGATGACGATGTTCTAGCTGTATTTGGCTTATTATTAGCTACAAATTGTTTCAAACTGAAAAGTAAGCGTCAAACCTGGTGCAAAGAGTGGTTGATGAAAAGAAACGTTTATTCACATGTGAATCTGTTACGTGAATTGAAGTTGGTCCCTAAAGATTGGCACAATTATTTGCACATGAATGAAGAAACTTAGCTCCTGTCATTAGTTGCCCCATTAATTAAAATAGAAAGATACCGTTATGAGGATGGCCATTTCGCCACACGCTCCGGTTTGCCTGGTTCAGGTACAAAACTGCACAGGTCGTCTAATGATTTTTCGAATATGCTCCGGCGGACTGTTCAGGTCACAATAACTGCGACGTTTTATCATCCACACGCTCCGGTCGACCTGCGCAGGCGCGCCTGTGCAGGCGCACCTGACAGGTCTACCGGAGCGTGTGTAGGGCCCTTTATGTTTTCTTCTTCCAAATAATCAAGTAGTCGTTTTGGTCAATATAAACAGGGAACACCTTTGTTCTAAACCTTATTATTAGAGTACATGTCAATAATGCAGCCATATAAGGGACATCAAGAATATGTCATTCACTAAAAATGTTTTTTAATACTTATGATGTTAAAATTATTAAAATGTCAATAGGACACTAAAAGTATATTTTATACATTAAAAGTGATTATCAAAATTTATAACATGTCTCTGGTTTTACATGTGTTTTTCTAGTTTTTTTAGGCTTCACATAGGCTATCATCAGGTGATTTTTCCTTTGGGGGGGGGACCACTGCACGGCACTTGTTCACCATGCACCTTTCATGCACGTCAATGTTTAGTTTAGTCTCATGACTAGTCGCACTCTTTTGCGGCTATTTGTAGTTTTTTGTGTTGTATTTTCTTGTGTCTGTCTTACTATTGTGGTATTTCTGAGGCCTAAAATACTAGAAAAATACATGTAAAACCAGAGACAATTCAGGAATTTGTATAATCACTTTTAATGTATAAAATTGATGTTTTAACGATTTTAACATCATAAACTATTAAAATACATTTTTAGTGAGTGACATATTCATGATGTCTTTTATATTGTTGCATTATTGATGTGTACCCTAGTAATGAGGATAATGCCTCAATGCAACGTGATGCTAAATATAGCCTTTGTTCTAAATCCACTTGCTGCTCCAAATAATCAAGTAATTCTGAGGCCATGGGTGACATTCTTTTATTTGCTGGAAGTAATGGAGTATGGTTAACCTTCGATTTTGCGATTTTTGCATGGTCCTGTCAGTCCTCACAATTTCTTAGCTAAGGCGATGGACCTCCATTCCTGTCAATAGTTGCAAATACTTCAGTCTGAAACTACATATCAATGCTGATGCACAGCTGCAAGTGATCCATAAATACACCATGTGACTTATACAGCATAGCACACGCGAGCGGATTTTTCCTCCATAGAGGTCCAAACAGCTCACACTCTTAGGCCAGCTTTGAACCTGATGCATCTTAGTAAAACAGTAACTGAAGAGGGTGTATTTAGTCTTTCCCTATGTGTACCAAAGAACGACTGTTGCGGCATCATGACTGCTGTGTTTTCATAGGTGAAACAGTCAACAGGAAATCACCCAGATTCAAATAGTTTTCATGTGTCCATGTGATTTCACTTAAGAAATACTAAACTTTATTGTAGACTAACATGAATTTAACAGCAAGGTCTGAAACTTACAATAAAGGAAAACCTAAATCGGTTAACAATAAATATTGTAGTGCACGTGTCAAACAACAGTCACATTTGGGACTTTTAGTACCAACACGTAAACCCTATTGTGAAGAAGCATGAAGAAACAGAAAGAAGTTCCCGCCAGTGCAGACCTTTCTCAAAGCAGCAGTAGTCACTGAAATGTTCTCCATTGGAGAAATGGAATTTGCACTTGCTGCAGGGTTCAAGTAAGCAGGTGCAAGTAATGCTTTCACAGATGGCGCCTACCTCAAGGAGAACGGCCTACATATCTCTGCTCATCTCTAAGTAGCCAAGTCTTCAGCTTCTAATGGTTGGAGCAGCAGATTCAAGAGGAGACAGCTTTTCTTACAGAAATCTGTAGGAGTGTTCATTTGGAAACTGTAGAAGACTGCAAGAATTACTGACTGTTGCAGTAAATTGAAGGTTATGACCTCTGTGGCTTAAATAATGTTGATGAGGCCTGTCTATTTTTTGGTCTACAACCTGGGAAAACCCTCAGGTTTTGCCATGGAGGTACCATATGTATGTTACCTCACACAACTAGTTAGAAAACTAGGCCACCCATTTTCCTGGGTGATATAAATACAGGGACCTGGTCCCCTGGGTTCAGAGTCTTGAATCTGAGACAGTAAAAACGGGACTCTGACCTGAGAATGACGGCACTGGCAATGGCCATCAACATTTTTAATTGACAGACCCATCCCTTCATCAGAAAGGATGTTACATGAGGGCTATGACTGCAAGTGTTCAGTTTGAAAATATAATTACTCTTGGTGAGTCTCAAGGGGCTTGTCACCAAGGCGAACTGATAGGTGGTAAACCGACAGTCGTAAAGTAACTCTGACCCTGACTCTGGATATGTTGTCTGCAGTGCACTTAACGGCAGAACCTTCAAGACTGTTAACACCTACAACAACCATGAACTGCTTTGTGAAGTCTGGTTTCTTGACTGATGATGTCAGTAACAATGATGATGGTGTGGTGAAACTGACAGAAGAAGAAGAGTGTGACTGGCACACTTTACAGCTTCTTGGAATGCAATCTGAGGACTGCCGAACATATGACAGCACTCTCAAGGTCTGTGGGGTCTGTAGTGTCAACCACACATTAGATCAACATTTGCCTAGGCCAGAAGAGGAAGTTACAGAACATAAAGCAATATTCATAGATGTACCGCAAGGACTGCAAGCTGCCATAAATTACATACATCCATTTGATACCAGGAACAATACTCTTATAATGTGCAAGAAAGTTAAAGTTGAAGCATACAGACTGAGAGCTCAGGGAGAAAAGAAGCAAAATACTGGCTGTTTGAAAAAATAGCGTAACTGGGTATGTACCATATTTGACAGTCATTTCAACCAAATACTCATATATTGCTTTGAAATAGGCCATGAACACTTCATTCCATTTCCTTTCCATTCACCATTTCATCCTACCAATGTTACATAAACACAACGGTTCATTAAGCATTGTAAAATAATGCAGAAACCATATTTTCATTTGCATTTACATTGTTAGTGTTCAAACATGTATATTGTGGCGTGTTTCCTTGTGATTATGGTCCAATAAGTTGTTCCCGAATCTGATCCATCCCACTTCTGACACCAGTTGTCATGTGTTTGCGAGGCAACAGGACAGGAAATTACGTGGGTTCCCCGATTTTAACACATGTTTGTTGCACAGCTACTTCTACACTCACAAGTACAGTTGTTCACACCTTCGCTATTACAATTACTTGCACCGCTATTCTCACTGAAGTATCTTCTGCTCTTTCCGAATACCAGCTCTACTCTTCTAAGGTCAAATACAATCTGAACTCTGCTCCAATCGAATACAAACTGAAAACTCGTCAGAACTACACTGACTCTTGTAGTGTGCGCTCGAACTGACTAGGGAACATCGTGTTCAAAGGTGCCGTTCTCTCTGCTTGTAGTATTTGTTTCCATGGGTATCCTTTCATTTCCAGGGAAACACATTTGTTGTTTAGGCTATTCCTATGCAGCGGTCTGCTGGTATTGCATTTCCACTAAAGTGTACATTCTTATTGCAGCCATTGCCTATAAATGGACATCTTGTCGCCCGGCTTTTTGGCGGCACACCATAATATTTTAAATGATATTCCAAGGTTATGGTTTAAGGAAGACTATAGTCTTCATGTTGCATATTTCCCTGATATTACATTTTCCTTCTATTTTACATCTGTTTTAAGCAGTCCCTTAAAAATTGTAAAATTGAGGTTTCACTGCAATCACGTTTTTGTGCTCAGGGTTGTGACAGCATGGGGGTGCTCTTGTAGGTTGATACAAACGTTTTAGAGGTGCAAGCTGTTGCCATCTTCGAGGTCGAAGTGTGGATGCTGAAGGATTGCTTTGCTTTATAGGCAGGTTGCAAGAAAGATCGTCACTCAGATCCACAAGATGGGCAGGGGATAGAACTCCATTGTCAGCTGATAGGAATGATGAATCATGCCCACCAGAATGTTGGTGTTAGTACCTGCAACTGTGCAGTGTGACAGTCCAGAAGGTCGCAGTCTGAACAATGAGCTCTGCGAAATGCTCATAACATACATGAAGTGATCATTTACATCAAGCAGAGTATATTATATTTAGATTTGAGGTTATGGCAGTGACTATGACGACAGTAAGTAATCTTTGAGAAATAAGGTTCATTTGTATTATCTTCTTTGACTGTCCTGACATGGTTCTTTGTATGCAGGAATTGTGGTGGGTGTGGCAATAGGAGTGGGTTTCATCATACTGTGTGCCATGGCTGTCATGTGGCGAAGACGTTGCATGAAGTCTGCATCCGCTGAGTGTAGCAGTACAGCTACCACATGTGGCGGTCATCAGGTGAATGGGAATGGCTACTACAAGGAATGGGACCGGTCTGCCACCGGTCATGGGCGCATAATGGCTGCCCCTTCTGAGAGTCATGAGCTGGATTATTTTGTGACTGCGGTTACCACCAACATCCCTTGTGATGATAACACTGATCACTTGGATACAAAGGTGTGTGTTTGCCAGTACCCTCAGTGTTAAGATTGATTTCAGGTTAAAAACACATAACACACCAACAGATAACATGTGTCATCATCATCATCATTATCGGGATAGTCTAAAAGTTGTATATTTTGCCTTAATTCAGTGAAAGCATAAGTATGCATCTGTCCCCGGGAATAACCTTACTATCGCAGAATCTAATAAACTGGAAAATGTACAAAGGAAAGATATACTACAATCAATATATTCACACCAGTTTTCATGTAGTTGTGAATTAATTTCAGAGTATTTAAATTTTAGAACACTTTATTCCACATGCCATCTTGATGCTGTGCCGCTTGTTAAGATCTACAAGAACAAACTTAACTGTTGTTCTGTTATGGATACTGTTGGTCTCCATGTACTCACTAAGCAAATTAGGGACTTTTCTGTCCCTAATGCCAGTAATATCTCGAAGATATGTGCTACAGCATCTGCAGATCTATGGACATTTTTAATGAACAACTACTAGTATCTGACAGGCAGTCACAGTAAATGCATGGTCTAAGGCATGATCTGTCTTTGTTCGCCCAGATGCAAGGATCATGGGTTGGAATCCAATTCAGGAGATGGATGTGTGCGCGCGCTTGCGCACACATAGACGGGCATATGTGTGTTTATTCTTTGTTTATTCTTAGGTCTTATAATTAGCTGATCATTCCCCCCAAGCAGCCCTACTCTCTGAAAAATGATTACAGAACTGAATAAGGGGCCTGAGCCTTGAATGGGCTGGAAGAGCCATTGAAAAAAGTATCCAACATTGTGTGTGCTCATAATTACTGTATTCTTTGAATGTAAAGTGGTTGATATGTGGGCCAGGCCAGGAGAGTGGCTGTCCTGATTGTCTCTCAGTTCTTGCATGCCATTAAATTATGCCACAGATGGTTCTTTCCATGTCAGATCCAATTTGTCCTGTGATTAGTATGAGTATTGTGAGCATATGTTTGGCTGTACAAAAATTATGATTTACTTATTTAATGGAACTTTATTGGCTGCACTGGTTATGCCATATGAACAATTGGTTAAGTGAATGATGATAGGAGAAGGATGTTTAAGGTTATGTTCTCTGTTTGTATTAACATAGTATTCAAGCATTTGCTGGAATGGACTAATTGAAACAGTAAGAAATCTCATTTGTAGTAGGTGGTGTTTGAGCTGAGCATTTCAACATGGGACTGCCTGAGTGCAAAGTAGGAATGCTGATGCTGATGACCCCAGCACGGTTTTTGGCTAAATAATAATATATAGCCAACCATATATAGACATAAATAAAGGCAATCAAACAGTGGAATCTACATTGGTCTGATGAGCAACAACACAGTTTGCACAAGGACTGGAAGTAGCAGACTGGTGTATAAGTAGTGATGGTTTTGCTACTTCTGTGGTGCAACGCTGGATTCATCAGAACAGTGCCGTGTTTATGTGCTAATAAATCATGTAGATTTAATGTCATAGTCATTTAAGGTAAATTACACTTCAAAATGAGTATCAGAACCAACTCTTTATTGCCACATGCATTGAAGAATATGAACAAAATATCAAAGCATTAGGAGCAGGACTGCTGATAATGCGATGCATCAAACCCAAGTCTGAAAGGCTCAGAACTTCAATTTTATGTCACTGATTCACAGCTGTTAAGTCCAACAAGTAACATACTACATTCCACATACATGTTGATGGATCCAGATTGTATGCTTCTTAACCTTTATCGGACGAACGTCATCATATGATGTCGTTAAAAGTAAGGGCAGCTGGCCGAACGGCATCATATGATGTCGCGGATTCCACGCGTGTAAAGATTTTTTTAAAATTAAATTTAAAATATAAATTATTGTTCTATTTACATAATTTTTGGTCACAACCTTTATAAGGTGACAGCCTTCCCTCCTGCGTGATCTAATGTAATCTACCGACATCATATGGCCGAACAACCTCATATGATTTCGCACATTGTACGCGTGTAAAGATTTTTTTAAAATTAAATTTAAAATTAAATTTTTGCTCTACTTACGTAATATATGTTCACCATCTTCATGAGGAAACAGCCTTCCCTCCTGCGTCATCTATGGTAATGTGGCCTTCGTATGGTACTGCCGAAAACATTCCGAAATGCAGAGTCCGACGTCGCAGCTCACGCACTTCGTACGAATGCTAGACCGCTTCCCACGTGAAAAGCACACACGACACCTCAGTTGCGATTTGGAGGAAGCAGGCCAGTGATATCAAGCTGCAAGTGATATTTATCCCCGCAGCTACACCGGCATAATTATTCACATCTCTCCAGCCACACTGGTCTGACGGTCCCCAAGTTGACGACGAAGGTGATGACCCTACGTCCGCGGATTCAGAACTCCTACTTTAATCGCCCCTTTCAGAATCGGTTGAATAGCAGTCCAAATCTGTGTTACTGAACAGCTGTTTTTCACTTTCAGCACCTTCCATACGACGTCGTCGTGTATACGGCTCTATAGCAGTGAATCTCTGTGCGTAGACCACGATAAGAAGCTATAAATCTTAACCTCGAGCCCACACATACAAAAATCTCATTCACGACTTCGCTGAACCCAATATCTACCTCATGATGTCATGGGTGG